TCAGTGTGTGTGTTCAGGTGTGTTCAGGTGTGTGTTCAGTGTGTGTTCAGTGTGTGGTGTGTGTTCAGTGCGTGTTCAGTGCGTGTTCAGGTGTGTGTTTAGTGTGTGTGTTCAGGTGTGCGTTCAGGTGTGCGTTCAGTGTGTGTTCAGGTGTGCGTTCAGGTGTGTGATCAGGGTGTGTGTTCAGGGTGTGTGTTCAGGTGTGTGTTCAGGTGTGTGTTCAGGCGTGTGTTCAGTGTGTGTTCAGGTGTGTGTTCAATGTGTGTGTGTTCAGGTGTGTGTTGTGTGTGTTCAGGTGTGTGTGTTCAGTGTGTGTGTTCAGTGTGTGTGTGTGTTCAAGTGTGTGTGTTCAGTTCAGTGTGTGTGTTCAGTGTGTGTCAGTGTGTGTGTGTTCAGTGTGTTCAGGTGTGTGTTCAGTGTGTGTGTGTGTGTTCAGTGTGTGTGTGTGTGTTCAGTGTGTGTGTTCAGTGTGTGTGTGTTCAGGTGTGCGTTCAGTGTGTGTGTTCAGTGTGTGTTCAGTGTGTGTTCAGTGTGTGTGTGTGTTCAGTGTGTGTGTTCAGGTGTGTGTTCAGTGTGTTCAGGTGTGTGTTCAGTGTTCAGGTGTGTTTCAGGTGTGCGTTCAGGTGTGTGCGTTCAGTGTGTGTTGTTAGGTGTGTGTTCAGTGTGTTGTGTGTGTTCAGGTGTGTGTTCATGTGTGTTCAGGTGTGTGTTCAGGTGTGTGTTCGTGTGTGTGTGTTCAGGTGTGTGTTCAGTGTGTGTTGTGTGTGTTCAGTGTGTGTGTTCAGTGTGTGTTCAGTTGTGTGTGTGTGTTCAGTGTGTGTGTTCAGTGTGTGTGTGTTCAGGTGTGTGTTCAGTGTGTGTGTTCAGTGTGTGTGTGTGTGTGTTCAGTGTGTGTGTGTTCAGGTGTGTGTTCAGTGTGTGTGTGTTCAGTGTGTGTGTTCAGTGTGTGTGTGTGTTCAGGTGTGTGTGTTCAGGTGTGTGTTCAGGTGTTGTGTGTGTTCAGGTGTGTGTTTGTGTGTGTTCAGGTGTGTGTTCAGGTGTGTGTTCATGTGTGTGTGTGTTGTGTGTGTTCAGGTGTGTGTTCAGTGTGTTCAGTGTGTGTTCAGTGTGTGTGTTCATGTGTGTTCAGTGTGTGTTCAGTGTTGTGTGTGTGTGTTCAGGTGTGTGTGTGTGTTCAGTGGTGTGTGTTTCAGTGTGTGTGTGTTCAGGTGTGTTCAGGTGTGTGTTCAGTGTGTGTTCAGTGTGTGTTCAGTGTGTGTGTGTTCAGTGTGTGTGTGTGTTCATGTGTGTGTTGTGTGTTCAGTGTGTGTTCAGGTGTGTGTTCAGTGTGTTCAGTCAGGTGTGTGTTCAGTGTGTGTTCAAGTGTGTTCAGGTGTGTGTTCAGTGTGTGTGTGTTCAGCGTGGTGTGTTCAGGTGTGTGTTCAGTGTGTGTTCAGTTCAGTGTGTGTTCAGGTGTGTGTGTTGTGTGTGTTCAGGTGTGTGTGTGTGTTCAGTGTGTGTGTTGTGTGTTCAGTGTGTTCAGGTGTGTGTTCAGGTGTGCGTTCAGTGGTGTGTTCAGGTGTGTGTTCAGTGTGTGTTCAGGTGTGTTCAGGTGTTCAGGTGTGCGTTCAGTGTGTGTGTTCAGTGTGTGTTCAGTGTGTGTTTCAGGTGTGTGTTCAGTGTTGTGTGTGTTCAGTGTGTTCAGGTGTGTGTTTGTGTGTGTTCCATGTGTGTGTGTCAGTGTGTGTGTTCAGGTGTGTGTTGTGTGTGTTCATGTGTGTGTGTGTGTGTTCAGTGTGTGTTCAGTGTGTGTGTGTGTGTTCAGTGTGTGTGTGTTCAGGTGTGTGTGTTCATGTTGTGTGTGTGTGTGTTCAGTGTGTGTGTGTTCAGGTGTGTGTTCAGTGTGTGTTCAGTGTGTTCAGGTGTGTGTTCAGTGTGTGTGTGTGTTCAGTGTGTGTTCAGGTGTGTGTTCAGTGTGGTGTGTGTGTTCAGTGTGTGTGTGTGTTCAGTGTGTGTGTTCAGTGTGTGTGTGTTCAGTGTGTGTGTTCAGTGTGTGTGTTGTTCAGGTGTGTGTTCAGTGTGTGTGTGTTTCAGTGTGTGTGTGTTCAGTGTGTGTGTTCAGTGTGTGTGTGTGTGTTCAGTGTGTGTGTTCAGTGTGGTGTGTGTTCAGTGTGTGTGTGTTCAGTGTGTGTGTGTGTTCAGTGTGTGTGTTCAGGTGTGTGTTCAGTGTGTGTGTGTGTTCAGTGTTGTGTGTTGTGTGTGTTCAGTGTGTGTGTTCAGGTGTGTGTTCAGGTGTGTGTTCATGTGTGTGTGTGTGTGTGTGTGTTCAGTGTGTGTGTTCAGTGTGTGTGTTCAGTGTGTGTGTGTTCAGGTGTGGTTCAGTGTGTGTTCAGTGTGTGTGTGTTCAGGTGTGTTTCAGTGTGTGTGTTCAGTGTGTGTGTTCAGTGTGTGTGTGTGTGTGTTCAGTGTGTGTGTTCAGTGTGTGTGTGTGTTCAGTGTGGTGTGTGTTCAGTGTGTGTGTTCAGTGTGTGTTCAGGTGTGTTCAGTGTTCAGTGTGTGTTCATGTGTGTGTGTGTGTTCAGTGTGTGTTCAGTGTGTGTGTGTGTGTTCAGTGTGTGTGTTGTGTGTGTGTTCAGTGTGTGTGTGTTCAGTGTGTGTGTTCAGTGTGTGTTCAGTGTGTGTGTTCAGTGTGTGTGTTCAGTGTGTGTGTTCAGGTGTGTGTTCAGGGTGTGTGTTCGGTGTGTGTTGTGTGTGTGTTCATTGTGTGTGTTCAGGTGTGTGTTCAGTGTGTGTGTTCAGTGTGTTGTGTGTTCAGTGTGTGTTCAGTGTGTGTTTCAGGTGTGTGTTCAGTGTGTGTTCAGTCATGTGTGTTCAGTGTGTGTGTGTGTGTTCAGTGTGTGTGTGTGTGTTCATGTGTGTGTGTGTGTGTTCAGTGTGTGTGTGTGTGTTCAGTGTGTGTTGTGTGTTCAGTGTGTGTGTTCAGTGTGTGTGTTCAGTGTGTGTGTGTGTGTTCAGTGGTGTGTGTGTTCAGTGTGTGTGTGTTCAGTGTGTGTGTTCAGTGTGTGTTCAGTGTGTGTGTGTTCAGTTGTGTGTGTTCAGTGTGTGTGTGTTCAGTGTGTGTGTGTGTTCAGTGTGTGTGTTCAGTGTGTGTCAGTGTGTGTGTGTTCAGTGTGTGTGTTCAGGTGTGTGTTCAGTGTGTGTGTTCAGTGTGTGTGTTCAGTGTGTGTTCAGTGTGTGTTCAGGTGTGTGTTCAGTGTGTGTGTTGTGTGTTCATGTGTGTTCAGTGTGTGTGTTCAGTGTGTGTGTGTTCAGTGTGTGTGTGTTCAGTGTGTGTGTTCAGTGTGTGTGTTCAGTGTGTGTGTGTGTGTTCAGGTGTGTGTTCAGGTGTGTGTTCATGTGTGTGTGTTAGTGTGTGTGTGTTCAGGTGTGTGTTCAGTGTGTGTTCAGTGTGTGTGTGTTCAGTGTGTTCAGTGTGTGTTCAGGTGTGTGTTCCAGTGTGTGTTCATGTGTGTCAGTGTGTGTTCAGTGTGTGTGTGTTCATGTGTGTTGTGTGTGTGTGTGTGTTCATGTGTGTTGTGTGTGTGTTCAGTGTGTGTGTGTGTTCAGTGTGTGTTCAGGTGTGTGTTCAGGTGTGTGTTCAGTGTGTGTGTTCAGTGTGTGTGTGTTCAGTGTGTGTTCAGTGTGTGTGTGTTCAGTGTGTGTGTTCAGTGTGTGTGTTCAGTGTGTGTGTGTTCAGTGTGTGTGTTCAGTGTGTGTGTGTTCAGTGTGTGTGTTCAGTGTGTGTGTTCAGTGTGTGTGTTCAGGTGTGTGTTCAGGTGTGTGTTCAGTGTGTGTGTGTTCAGGTGTGTGTTCAGTGTGTGTTGTGTGTTCAGTGTGTGTTCAGTGTGTGTGTTCAGGTGTGTGTTCAGTGTGTGTGTTCAGTGTGTGTGTGTGTTCAGTGTGTGTGTTCAGTGTGTGTGTTCAGTGTGTGTGTTCAGTGTGTGTGTGTTCAGTGTGTGTGTGTTCAGTGTGTGTGTGTTCAGGTGTGTGTTCAGTGTGTGTGTTCAGTGTGTGTGTGTTCAGGTGTGTGTTCAGTGTGTGTGTGTTCAGTGTGTGTGTGTTCAGGTGTGCGTTCAGTGTGTGTTCAGGTGTGTGTTCAGTGTGTGTGTTCAGTGTGTGTGTGTGTTCAGTGTGTGTGTGCGTTCAGGTGTGTGTTCCAGTGTGTGTTCAGGTGTGTGTTCAGTGTGTGTGTTCAGTGTGTGTGTGTGTTCAGGTGTGCGTTCAGGTGTGTGTTCAGGTGTGTTCAGGTGTGCGTTGTCGTTACCAGACGTTGTGTTCGTCGTGGCCGCAGCGTTGAGTTCCGAACAGGACGGAGCTGTTGACGCCGTCGAGGCTTCGCACCGACACCGTCCCGTCTCCAGAGGCGGCGAAAACTCTGGACGAGTCTGAGGGGCAAAACTTCAGCCCCCCGATGGAATCACCCGCTCCCCCCTGTCACACACACACAGCACACACGACACACACACAGACGACACACACACACACACACAGAGACACACACACACACACACACACAGAGACACACACACACAGAGACACACACACACACACACACACACAGAGACACACACACACACGCACACACACAGAGACACACACACACACAGAGACGCACACACACAGAGACACACACACACACAGACACACACACAGAGACACACACACAGACACACAAACACTTTAAACGTTAGAGGGAAAATCATAAAGGATCAAACATTAAACGTCCCATAATCGTCTATGTTTTGTTCTGCTGTCGTTTCCTCGTCACACAAAAAAACTGGAGTTGTGTTTTGTGTTTTGTTTGTGTGTTTTGTTTTTGTGTTTTGTTTCTTTCACATGTTTCACACAAACCTGCACATTTAACACCAGTTCTTCTCTCAAACTGAAAACACTCACAGAGACGCTCCTCTTCTGTCTCTGTTTTTAAATCTTTTCTTAAAACTTTCACTTCGGCCTTTGACACAGTTTGAGATTTTCACATT